CGGGGTCTGGCCCCCCCCGCCGAGGCTGTGGTCGCTGTATCCGCCATGGCCACTGACGCCCGCAATCTCCAGCCCTTTTAAAATGTCCCTCCTCGGCCCCCGCCACAGTTGCCTCTCCCGATTGGCCGTGAGCAACCGCAGCGAGCAGGGTGCGCAGAGCCTTGTGGGAAGTGTAGTTTCCCCCAGTTCTGAGCCTGACAACCCCAGACTGCAGAGAACTGCACCCACGCATACCTGGTCTTGGTTCCCGCCTCCAAGCAGCAGGCATCGGCATTGCTGGGAATGTGTGCAGGTGCGGATGTACTCGCGGCCCTGAGTCTTAAGACCAGGAACCTCCTACAAACGCGGGCCCGACCCGGGATCAGAGAGGCAAGGACTCCAGGAAGAGTGGGGTTAATTCAGAAGGCCTTCAGCAAGGAGTCGCACTGCGGGATTTTCCGCAGTTTCTTGTATCATATCCCTGCCTTCAGCCATTCTGTCACTGCCACTCTCTTAAACAAGCTCCGCTCAAGCTGCTATGACTCTTGAGTATTCTACTCATACTTTTACCATGGTTTGATGCGGTTCTTTTTCTAGGCTCCGCCTAAGCATTCAAGGATTCCATCACCCACCCTACATCCACAAAATCCGCTTCAGGATTCTGTACCACGTGGCACTCCTTTGCCTAGTTACATGTAGCTCAGGCTAGCCTGGAACTATGTAGCACAGGCTGGCCTCAAACTTGTGATTCTTCTTCCTCTGCCTCCCAAGTCCAGGGATTATAGGTGCCAGCTAGCAGACCAACTATGGGCTTAAATATCTTTTCTACGCTATGGTGAGAGGGGGTGATTTTTTTGGTTGGATAAATCTTCAGTGAAGGTATAGGAGGGCTCACACTAGGAACTCGATGTGTTGGGTGAGTTAAGCATCCTGAGAGACTGCACTTTTTTGACCCAAGGAAGTTCCCTCCCAAGCCTAATTATCAAGAACCAGCCACGGGGATTCACTGGGAACTACAGATCGCACTGGGTAATAAACACACACTCCTGCAGAATGGCAGGGAATGGCAACTGCAGTCCCAGCTCAGTCATCTAGTTGATGAGCCAGACTGGGCATAGACGGTGGGGAGACGCTGGTCTCACCCAGGACATAACTACTTGATTCTAGGGAAGCTTCCAACCCTAGATAGGGTTCAGAGTTAACTCGGGGTTACCCTCCTGCCCTTCTGGACACTGCATGAGACAACTGGGGGGTCCAAGTGCTCATCCAGTCACTAATAGCTGAGCCACAAGGGACAGAACTCCCAAATGATGCTAAAGCTGAGGAGAAATGACGGATAACCAAAGAACAGTTTTTATCTTTGGTTTGTATCTTATCTCCTCTTTCTAAACTCAGTGACATCAGAACAGAAATCACAAATTTTGCCCATTCCCCCTCAGCACTCGCTAAATTCATGCCTCTGATCAGTGCCCAGTGAACCCGGGCACCTGAGGCGGCAATGCCCATGATTTCAAGGCAGTGGCATTGTCACCCAAGACACACACTGCCTCTCCCACGGGCAGGCTCCTTCACCCACTCATTTCAAAGCAAGAACACACCAGGCCAGCTGTGGTACACGGACTTTTTATTCTTCATAAAGTGCTCAAAACATGAAGAACAAGCTCTTTATAGACAGGAGTTTCAACTAGGAAGACAAACGGCAGAGCAGTACTGTGCCTGCTCACTGCTGCACTCTGTCTGCTGCACTCTGCAATGTGTGGTATAGAGCAGACACAAGCAAAACCCTGGCTTCAGTTCAGAACCTCTCCTAAGACACCCCTGCCCTGGCCACATAGGGAGGCCAAACAGCAGGGATGGGCGAAAGATGAAGAACAGGGCTGGAACCAAATAAAACCCAGAGGACTACCTAGCAGAGGGACTCACTTCCTCAAGAGGCCAATGACCCCCACCCCCCAATGTGGTCAAGAATCTGGGAACAGGTGGCTACTTTCCTCATTTCTGAGTTGGTCTACAGTTGATAACTGCACTGTGGGAAACCCCATTGTGGGGTTCATCTACTTTATGCTGGCAGAAGACTGACATCATCCACAGAGCATACCCTCCTGAGGTGTTCTGAGTGAACTAATGACCTTGCCATTAAGAGACAGTTGTTGCCTTTCCACTGGACCAAAGGCATCTTTTTCAGCATCTCACCTCCTTCACACATATTTTTTGCTAATGCACAGCCACCAAGGACCCCTGCAGATGCCATGGGAGACCTGCTGTATTCACAAGCAAACTAGAAGCTGGGCCACGGGGTAGATACTTGGCTTCAAAATGCACTTCAGCCAAGCCAGGAAACATGGAAGAGGTTGGTGAGCAAGGAGGCTGCACAGCAGCTTACAGAACAGCTGGAGAGCCACAGGCATTTCCTAAGTACAGGTATCTCCTAAGGCAGAGTGAAGCCTCCCACTCCCAGACAAGCCCACTGGTCCAGCACAGCTGGGACCCAAGGCCAGATACAATATGGTGCAGGGTAGCCCCAGGTTTACAGGATGCTCAAATGTGGGTCAAGGGAGGAGCAGGAAGTGGGAGGAAGACTTAGGGGTAGCAGCAGGTTGGTCAGAGCCTTAGCTGAGGTGCTTCTCAGGGAAGCAAAAAGCCTGGTCCACCTTCCCCTTTCAGGACCCTAACAGCCACTTTTATGTGCTCAATAGGAGGGAGGGGACACCAGGGCCAGAGAGAGGTCTACATCCAGAGGCTCTTGTCCTCACCCACCAAAGGCACATTTTAATTGGTTTCCAAAAGTTCTGACCCCACAGTAGCACAGTTTTGGCATCTGGACAAGTGGTAAAAACAGACATGGAGGCCTGATCCCCAAAACATGAGCAGCCCAAAGTCCCAACCTGGAGGTTCTCATGTTAGAGAGGTAGGGAGAGGCTTGGGAGCAAAGAGTCATTCTATTCTCCCTGCACCCAGCCCCACCACCCATCACCACTGGGACATGGAATGAGAGGGTCTGAAGAGGGGTGGAAGCAGCTGAAGAACACAAAGACACACACACACACACACACACACACACACACACACACAC